GATGGACTTACAAGCTTTCTATGGTGATGTTTCTGGCTATTCCTTTCTCTCCCCCTCCAATGTCTCAATAGACTTTTAAAGACTGAACATACATTGTAAATTTATCTGAACCTGAGAAGTCCAGAGTTTATGAGCTTACCAAGAATAATTCTTCTTAGTGCAAGGTCTAGACTTCTAGAAGTTGTTTCACCTGAGTAATGTGACCAGCTCTCCAGGAAATCTGGTGGCAGTGTGGTTAGTCTGTTGCTGGATAAGTCCAAATAGGTGAGATTCTTCAGGTACCTGGTTGCCTCAGCTGGCACACTGGTTATTCTGTTATTGTGCAAATCCAAGGTCCTCAGATAGGGCAACTCCAGCAGAGATGCCCAAGGGAAAGCAGACAGAGAATTCCCAGACAAGCGAAGCTCATGCAGATGCTTTAAGTTGTAAAAGCTCCTAGGGTCAATGCTGGTCACAGAGTTGCAAGACACCCAGAGGTACTGAAGCTCCACCAGGTAGTAGAAGGCCTCAGCAGGGATTCTGTGAATGACAGTCTTCTCTATGTGAAGCTTCACAGTATCCACAGGGATATTCATGGGGACCTCATTCATATCCAGGTCATTGCAAAGCACGGACCTAATGTAACAAGAGCAATGGAAAGAAACTTGTCTTCTGAAACCCACTTAAAAATAGTCCTTAATTATTATCAATGTCAACTTTCCATCCCCCAGTGATTATGTTAGAAATATCTGTTCAGTCTGGCTACTCTGCTCATTAACAATTCATCATCATCTTCTTTCATCATAATCATCATGATAGCAAGTAGCTATTATTAGATTTGGAGATCTGGTAGCATAGTGGTTACAAGTCAGGCAGTTCGAAACTACCTGCTGTTCCATGGGAGAAAGATGAGGCTTTCTGCTTCCATAAAGATTTACAGCCTCAGAAACCATAAACAGGGTCATTAGGAGTCAGAACCAACTCTACAGCACATAACCACCACCACGACTATTAGATTGCACCATATGAAATGGTCATTTTTGTAAGTCCAAAGTGGTCAAATATTAACAGTTTTATACAGTTCAACTTCATGTTAATGGTATTCTCTTTATGTCCCAGACCTGTTTAATTCCTTACATGCATTACCTTATTAAATAATCAAAAAAGCCATATAAAGTTGATGTTGGTTAATGGGTAAAAGCCTCATCTCTAGAGTCAGGCTGATCTAGGTTTCAATTCTATGATCTGCCACCTCTCCTGTGGCCATGGAAAGCCAATTTCTCCACTTCATTTCCCCATATGACGCTATTGTGATGATTAATTGAAGTAGATTAAAGCTTATGTACTGATTAAGTGCTTGGCATTCTGAATTTTTACCAACTCCATTTTTACAGATGAAGTAACAGACTGTCACTAAAATCAGATCACTTCCCAAGGTCACACAGCTAGTGGGATACAAAATCACATTTAAAACACTTAACTGTCCAAACAAAGTCTAAAATGCACATTCTTCAGAAAGGGTATATTTTAAAAGACTCCCCTGTGAACTTTATACTTTGAACTTTTTTACATCAGAAGAAAAAAAGAACTGTACTAACACTTGTTTAGATGTTTAACGTTGAGTACCGTGATTTAAGCGTTACTTTCCACCTAAGAAATAAACCAGAATCTTATGAGTTTATTCCTTTCTACCACTCACTAACTTAAGTGACCTTTAGCTAGTCACGCTGTGACCTTGTTTATTGGCATGTGTGAAACAGCTTAGAAAAACAAGCCTGTCCCACATGTGGGTTAAAAGTTTGAGTAATTAGAGGATTTAGATTTATTTTAACCCGAGAAAGGTCTGTCTCACATTTATATACTCAACACCACAAAGCTGCTGAAAAATGAATAATGCAGTTTATGAAGAATCATCTACATTATAAAATATACTATATATGCTGGTGGTGGTGCTGGTGGTTTGCTGAGGAGTGAGTTCTGACTCATAAAGACCCTGCATAGGGTTCCGAGGCTGTAAATCTTTATGGAAGCAGGAAGCGCCATCTTTCTTCCATGGAACGGCTGGTAGTTCAACTGCTGACCTTGAAGTTAGCAGCCCACCATAACCACTATGCTACCAGAGCACCCTATACTATATATAGCAATTAATAAAAACAGAATGGCCATTCAGTAAAGCTCCTCTTCTCAAAGCACTGAATTCTATCAGTTAGCCTATAATATAAAGGAAGGGAGCAGTGGAAAGAACAATCGTGGTGGCAGCATCTCTTTCTAGAACTTTAGGAAACACCCCTATCGAATCATTGAAATTCCCTAGGATACCTTTTGCTCTTTCTCTGTATTCTGCGTTAGAAATTTCAGTGCCACTTTATAGCAGGATGATAGCAGTTCCCACTCAAGTCAGCCTTGGATGTGCGATAATGTGTGTGGGATGGGGGGAGTCTGGATTGGGAGTTAAAGACCTAATATCGCTACTGACCCAATCATTACATCAACTCAACCACATGATCTTGGTTTAGAGTTCCTGTATGGTTTCAATTCTTGGATCCTAAAATGAAAGGGGTAAATCTAGATTATTTCTGAAGTTCTGCCAGGCATATATTCTAGGATTTTTGTAAGATATATCAACTAATGGAACTTCTATGGAAAAGTTGCCATTTCTGTCATTGTTAACTCAAAAGTACCTTAGTCGGAATCATGCTGCACATATTAGGCAAAATGGTCTTTAATTTGTTATATTCTTCTCATTGTCTTTATCCACCCAGTGAGTATTTCAAAAGGCATTTAACAACAACAATAACAAAGAAAACTAGTTAAGTAAAGTTTATACAACAACTAGACAATATACTCAATGTGTTTTCATTCTTTTTGTTTAAAAGTTGTAAGTCATAAACTATTCTTTTAACAAATGATTTTTAATGGGCTCATTGAAGTCAAGAGACTTCAACCAAGTCACAAAATACTTGATATTGTTGTTGAAATACTATATTAAGGGGGGAAAAAGAAGAAGAAGGAAAAAAAAAAAATATATATATATATATACATATATATAATATATTGCATTTGGCTAAGATCATCTTTGTTTTGCATTTGACTTCTATTTAGAAGGATTCTGATGCACATTATAAGGGAATAACAATTTCCTCTTCATAGATAGAGATTAAGCAACCTAACAGTAATATGTGAAGCCTTATCTGTGACAGTTGTTGTTAAGTGCCGTTGAGTCCATGCCAATTCATACAGATTCCTATATAGGATTTCCAAGGCTGTACATTTTTGTGGAAGCAAAAAGCCGTATCTTTCTCCTGTGAAGTGGCTGGTGGGCTCGAACTACCAATCATGTGGTTTGCAGTCCAGTGCTTATCATATACAGCCACCACGTTCCCTGTCTGTAATAGTGGAGATCCATGTATTTTCAACTTCTTTATTTGTAATTCTAGTAGCTTAAATTCTAATCACAAATCTCTCTAAATTCTTTCTTGTGACCTTCCTTCCTTACTCCATAAATTCTACCCAGTTGGCAGGAATTTTCCTCAAGATAAAATGGAAAACCCTGAAAGAAATGGTCCAGGACTGTCAAACAACTTGGATCAATTCAGCACGTAGGTTTTCAGAGCCAAATGCAGAGCTGACCACTCACAATGAAATGGTATGACCTCCTGACAAATATTCACGTAACATAAATATTTGAGCGTTTCGAATAATTTGAGGGAAATTTAAGAGCTAAACTGGTCAAAATGAAAGCATTGAAGTTTGGGCAACTAAACAGAATCTAACAATATCAACACCATTAAGTCAAAGCATATATAAATTTTACCTTCTCTCTGATTTCTAATACTCAATTTTCTTTCAAACCAAGGCATCTTGTTTGGCCCCTTTGTCTAAGAATAACTGCAATACTTGGAAGCAAAAAGAGGTGCATACCTTGATCCAGAGTCATCATGTCTGTTGTAATCATGGCAGGTGCACTGTGAAGGACACGAACAGTTCACTTCTTCCATTAAGCTAAGTCCGATGCACAAACAAACAAATATATGCATTGCTCCTTTTCAAGGTTATCTGAACAAAAGGTAAAAGCCAAACCTTAAGCATTCAGAAACTGGTGTGCCAGGAATACAGACATCCATTTAGTAATAGCCAGATTACATGAGATTAGCTGAGATCTGTACTTACTTAAACCTTCAACTGTATTTTGCAGAGGATTAACCAACCCAGCCTTTGAATATAGTTTCAGCAAAGGAACATTTTAAAGACAAGGAAGATTAAACACATGGCAGGAACATTTCAATCATTTTTCGTATCTACATTTTGGAGGAAATGCCTATTAAATCCCTTTCCTATGGATGTAATTGCCACGGCACCTTGAAGATATTCTTACTGTTAAAAATAGTTACGTTGGAAAATACCAAAAAACATTGTAGATTATCCATATGCAGTAACATGACAAATTTGATTTTTAACACCATTTTAACACCATTCCAGTTTAATAAAAATTTATTTTGCACATAGAAGTACATAACATAAAATCAGTTTAGAATACAGTTATCAATGTACTGGTTATTTATGTTGTTGTTGTTATGTGCCATCCAGTCGAGTCCAACCCATAGCAAACCTGTTCAGGGTTTCCAATGAGCAGCTGGTGTGCTTGAACTGCCAATCTTGCAGTTCAAACGGCTTTGCAGTCTGGCACATTAACACACAGCACTACACCAGGACTCCTTGGTTATGTATTTGTTGTTGTTAAGTGCCTTTGAATCCATTCCAACCCATAGCAACCCTGCATAGGGTTTCCAAGGAGCAGTGGGTGAGCTTGAACTACCAATCTTGCAGTTCAAATGATTTTGCAGTCTGACAGATTAGCCCACAGCGCCACAACAGGACTCCAAAAACAAAGTAAACAAAATCAAGTCTATGGGATTTTTTTTAAGAAAAATTCTTCAATTCACCACTGAAAAGCAAGTCTAATTACTCTGGTGAGCTGAGAGTGGGTCCTGACCCTCACAGAGCTGGGTAAAGTTCACCCTAGTATGTTTATTTTTAACAAAAGCAATTGTTTCTGTTCAAGAATATATTTATTCCAAGCTAGCTTCTCCAGTTTACATGCATTGAAAGCCATATCTGTAGATTGGCTGTTATTTCTTTTAGCAATAGTAGGTGCCTATCAGAAAATGAAAATTAAATTTAAAAAACTAAAGCCATTCCCACACATCAAGGATTGGGGTAATAAACATATAATCTTTTTCTTTAATCTTTTTATTGAGTGGTTATAGCTGTCATCTTTAAACCAACAATTCTTTTAATTGATCATCAATTCTATAAAAATAATAATGTTTTAAGAGAGATTATTTAAGAAAAATAAAATTCATAAAGAAACAAAAGTCAGAAAAACTGGCTCAATTTAAATATTTAAATAAAGCTTCATATTTTCAGATCCTGTCAATTTAATTGTTCATTAAATATTTACAGAACACTTTTTCTGTGTCAAATACTGGACTAAGTGCTAAGGATACTAATATGCACACAGTCACTACACATAAGGAACTCACATGAAAAGACGGGCACAGCGAAAACTAAGATGTAAAAGGGAAACCACAGGGAGGAAGTAGGGTAACTGTTGTTTCAGGGAGGGGACTGTAATCATTTAGATGAAACAAAGTATATGATTGGTTGAAAGTAAAGCTGATGATCTTGTCTGTTTTTAAAAAGAGTTAAAAGGCTTTGGAAAATAACCTGAGGGCATCTCTCAGAATTCTACCACAGACTTCAGACTCTACCTGTTCTAGAATGTACTGTAATGGCATCACATGGCTTAAATCTCTCACAGGTTGCTAGCTATACACATGAAGTTGGTTATAAAGACTGCAGAGCTGTGAATCAACATTCATCAGGCAAAGTTCATTTTGTATGCCTGACAACTATGAATATCAGACCAATTAGAGGCCAAATGGAAGAAAAATCTGAAACAGAAAAAGAAAGTAAAACTTGACGTCACAAATAAAGAAGAATGACTTAAAAAAATAATAATAAAAAGGCACAGAGTACTGAAGAAGCACACGAGAACATCAAACTCAGCCTGTATTGGTCAGTAAAGGTTTCCTAGGGCAGGTGGTAATCGAGTTACCTCCTATGTTGTTGTTGTTAGGTGCCATCAAGTCGGTACCAACTCATAGCGACATTATGCACAGCACAATGAAACACTGCCCGATCCTGGATCAGCCTCACTACTGTTGCCACACTTGAGTCCATCAATGCTGCCACTTGGCCAATCCATCTCATTGGGAGTCTTCCTCTTTTTCTCTGACCCTCCACCTTA